CCTATTACTGATTTTACTTAGCTAATCACTCTTATTTATATATCATCTTTTAAATCCTATTATAAATTCTAAGGCAATATAGAAATCAGATTGTCGACATCATCTTAATTTTCATTTTGTTCTTAATTTATATAGTATTTTAAATAATTTCTTATTCTACTCTATATTTTAGGTTCTACCTAATTTTTATTCATAAATGTATTCATCTTTAAGATGGATCTTTTGTATTTTAATTTTGAGTCTTACAAGTTTTTTAAGATAAACCCAATTTAATTCATTGAGTATGCAAAAACTCCGCTAGATAAAAACATAATAATTTCAACAAATATAAGCTCTAATTAACTTTAAGCTGTAACATCGCCATAACCTATAGTTGTCATTGTCATAGTTGCCCAATAAAACGCATAATTATATTGTCTCCATATAGGTTCATTCAACAATTCATATTTAATGAGCCATGATGTTTCCATGGATTTTACTCCAACATAATGCCAAAAGCATGCAACAATGTGAGCAAGCAAATAAATAGAAAGTATTAGGCTTAGTAAGTCCATTAGACTATTTGAAATCCCTTTGAAGAATACGAATTCAAAATAATCCGACAAGTATCTATTGATTTTTTTGTAAGTAACAATCAGCTAAGCGATTGTCAAGCATTCTCCAAATACTTGATATGTCAGTAGATTCTGCTAAATTAGTACCCATAATATTAAATTAAGTATGTCATTTGTAAAATTGGTTTGGAGATACGTTTCTATCAAGGTTTTACGTTTCGATATTAATATCCCCTAAATGATAATACCTTTGTTTAGAGAAATCAAAATGTCACTAATTAAAAATATGATAATTGATAGCTTTAAGGAAGAAAGCTAAATTTCATTTTAATGCTATTGAAAAGACAATAAAAATGGAGTCAGCCATAGTATAATAAAATTAAAGATGATTCCAACAGCATTCCAAACTATAATGAATCCACATGTTGGTTAAATCACTGGTATTCGCGATTAAGTGTATGTATCTAGAGGTTATTTAAAATTATATACCTAATATAGGTTATTTGTTATTTTCTTCAATATATTTATCGTGAATTAGTTGCTTTTTGTTTTGCTTTAATATGTAGGTGTTAGTAAACAAATTATTTATAAATTATTATTTAATTTTCTCAGCTTTAATTACTTTCACTAAATTTGACTGAATCAATTTGCTTTTGAATTTTATTGTTTAAAAGGTGTTATTAATAGTATTATTATCATCAGATATCTTAGACTAGTTATTAGCCTATTCTTAATTTATCATTCTAGGCTAAATAGATATGCTACGAGAGGTTTATTTTCCTCGATCAAAGTCAATCATTTATCTGCATGCATCATCTGAAATTTCTGACAATCTCGAAGCTGATTCACTCTTGCTGCTAATTTACTTAGTAAATTTTCTAGGGCTTGATCTCAATTCAATATTCACTTTTTACATATAATATTAAAAAATAATATTAAGTGACCCACATTTGAAAATGAGCAAGAATTAAATTGAAACTGATTCTGGCCATTTTTCATAATCATCATTTTTTTTATTATGTTGCTGTTAAATTATTTATGCTCAAAATAAATAAAGTGAGAACCTTTACAATAATTATTAAATTGTTGAAACACTTAAAAACATTAGATTCAATATATGTTCGGAAAAATCAGTCATATTGATAGAGTAATAATTATTTAAAAATCACTCAGCCATTTATTCAAAACTATAACGTTTTCAGAATGATTTTTAAATATTCTATAAAATGAATAATGTGAAAATAAAATGATTTAAAAAATGCCTTTAAAATTGATGTTTTTCCAAAAATATTAGATCTTTTATATTGAGCCAAGCAAATAAAATCTCCTTCAAATATGTTTAAATATATTACAAACTACATTTTCTATTAAATATTATATGAACAATTTGATCTTTTTAATTTAATAGATAGGACAAGTTTTCTTCTTGATTAAAGAAGTATTTTCCTTTAATTATAAATGTTCACTAGCATAATTTATGACAATGATCCAAAAAATGATTATATTATATTATGAAATAAAGTACTCAATTTATTCAAAAAATAATTAGTTGATGAGTGATAGAAAAGGAGCCAAAAATAATAGATCAAGCTATATTATTTTTAATTTTAATCTTGATAGTATATAAATTTGTAGTGGAGGAAATGTTAGAATGATTATATAAATTTAATTAGATTGTTTCGAAATTTGGTTATAAAAGTTTTCTTTTGGAATATTTTGAATTATTTGCAACTCTTTGTTCTGATGTTAATTATTTTTTTTATAATGTGAAAAGTTTGAAAAATAATTACTACTATTCACAATTATTGAATCATAACTATTAAATCCATCTCAACTGAGAATAACTCTAAATGATATTAATTATGAATAATCACTATATTTTTCTTAATTTAAACTTATTTAGCATTTACAATTTCTAAGATTAAATCTATAATTTACATAATATTATAATTAAAATTTTAAAGAGGGAATTTGAATTGTGTAAAAAATGACTTTATACAATTATCATTTCTTAAATAGAAAAAATAATAATATCTTTATTAGTGGGTAAATTTGCATAACCTTCCATTTGGATAATTATTAAAATCTTCAATTAAACTATCATTAGCATCAAATAATCTTATAAAACCAATAATAGTTATTTGGGTTTAATATATGCATGATTGCAAGGCTTTCAATTCAATACTTTGTACTTGTTTTAGAATCGGAGAGTCCACAATTGTAAAAAAATAAATAAATTGTTTATGCTATATTCTTTTTGATAGGAATCCTAATATTTAATCAGTAAAGTTTACAATTAAAAATTAGGGTTAAATCTAATCCAACTGAAATTTAATTACTTAAAGTATTCGACTTACATAATTAGCTCAAAGTGTTTTGAGAAGTTTTAATCAACTTTTTTAATATAATTAAACTATTTCAAAATATTAGAGATCCCTGTTTAGATTTAAATATTAGAGATTTGTTATTTTCAGGTTCTATTTCAAGAATAGTAAATGAATCCTACATTTATTTAATATATTATTTATTAAAATTAAGTTCCAGGTGAATTTTATTATATTAAAGCATCTTTGATTTCTTTATATTAAATTTTATAGTAAAGGTAAAATAATCTAAATTTATTTTATATATATTACAGATATCTCATTTTCTTAATACGCCATAAAAGATGTAATCTAAACTTTTATTTCAAACAAATTAATTTATTCGACAATAAATAATATAGAATGATTAATTTACACTCAGATTCCAGACAAACTCTTTAGTAGTAGGACATAGAAGTTTATTAATTGATTGAGAAAGAAAAGAATTTACAATAAAATAGCATAAATTTGATTCCTAGCGAAAATTATACATCTAGAGCAGTGGCTGAGGCATTATCTTGTGTATTTAGCTCCAGATATGCTCCGGGTAATTTCTTAATTTATTTTGCATAGGACCTCAAGGAAGCAAATACGCCCCATAAGTTGAAAATTATGATGAAATAGAGAAACTCTGTTAAGAGAGGGCGTTAAAAGCATTTTAATTAGATCCTCAATAATGGGGTGTCAATGCTTAGATGGGGAGTGGATCTTCTGCTAATTTAGCGATATTTTTAGGTTTATTGGAACCAAAAGATAGAATAATGAGTATGGAATTTTAATAAGGTGGACATTTTTCTCATGGATATTAGATAGGAGAGAAGAAGTTATCAGCTATTAGTAAAATATTTGAAGTCCTATTTTACTAACTTAATGAAGTAAGATGCATAATATCATTTTTATAGAAAACTTAAGAAATTGATTATGATAAAGTTGAATTATTAGCTAAGGCATACAAGCCAAAGTTAATTGTTGCTGGTTGTTCAGCTTATAGTAAATTAATCGACTTTGGAAGATTCAGAACTATTTGTGATTAAGTTGGAGCCATTCTATTGGCTGATATTGCTCATACAAGTGGTTTAATGTCAGCCGGAGTTATTCCCTCTCCATTTCCTTATGCAGATATTGTTATGACAACTACACATAAATCGTAATATACTTTTTTAAGTTAGCTTACGAGGACCAAGAGGCAGTTTAATTTATTATAAATTATAATACAAAAATAGAATAGATGAATCGGTTGCCCCAGGATTAGTAGCTGGAGCACATTTCCATACAATTACTGGCATTGCTGTAGCATTGAAAGAGACTCAATCTCCAGCATATCTCCAACTCTAGAAAGATATTGTGGATAACAATAAACATTTTGCAGCTGAATTTTAAAGATTAGGATTTGATTTGATTGCAGGGGGAACTGAAAATCACTTAATATTGGTAGACTTAAGAAAGTTTAATGTTGATGCTGTTAAAATGGAATATATCCTCAGTTAAATCAATATCTAATGCAACAAACAGCTAGTTCCTTTTGATACAGTTCCTCAACCAAGAGCCTTAAGAGTTGGGTAATTATCTTGATTAAACATAGATCAATTCCATTATCAGTTAGGTAGGCATCTAAAGAACATTTCACAAGAGTTGCTTAAATAATAAAAGAATCCGTTGAATTGGTTTAAACTGTTACTGTTGACATTAAGATATGGGCAGCTGAAAATTAGGATAAACTAATACCCCTAAAGTAAAAGGTTGTCGAATTGGCAAATGAATTACCAATTCCTTGGATGTGAATTTTTAAATTAGTATCAATTAAATAATAAATATTTACAATTTTATTTGCAAATATGGAAAATTATATGATCTTTCCTTTAAATTATACTTATAGAAATATTTATTTCCCTTATTTATTCCAACAATAAAAAGATGATTTTTTTTAGACTGCAATTACAAGTATAAAGTTATGCTGTTGGACTTTTATAATTATTTATAAAAAAATGCTTAGTTTATTTTACAACAATTTTGAAATATTTAAAAAAATTGAGAATTCGAATAAATTAATAATTTTCTATTTCTTATAATGTAANTAATGAGTATGGAATTTTAATAAGGTGGACATTTTTCTCATGGATATTAGATAGGAGAGAAGAAGTTATCAGCTATTAGTAAAATATTTGAAGTCCTATTTTACTAACTTAATGAAGTAAGATGCATAATATCATTTTTATAGAAAACTTAAGAAATTGATTATGATAAAGTTGAATTATTAGCTAAGGCATACAAGCCAAAGTTAATTGTTGCTGGTTGTTCAGCTTATAGTAAATTAATCGACTTTGGAAGATTCAGAACTATTTGTGATTAAGTTGGAGCCATTCTATTGGCTGATATTGCTCATACAAGTGGTTTAATGTCAGCCGGAGTTATTCCCTCTCCATTTCCTTATGCAGATATTGTTATGACAACTACACATAAATCGTAATATACTTTTTTAAGTTAGCTTACGAGGACCAAGAGGCAGTTTAATTTATTATAAATTATAATACAAAAATAGAATAGATGAATCGGTTGCCCCAGGATTAGTAGCTGGAGCACATTTCCATACAATTACTGGCATTGCTGTAGCATTGAAAGAGACTCAATCTCCAGCATATCTCCAACTCTAGAAAGATATTGTGGATAACAATAAACATTTTGCAGCTGAATTTTAAAGATTAGGATTTGATTTGATTGCAGGGGGAACTGAAAATCACTTAATATTGGTAGACTTAAGAAAGTTTAATGTTGATGCTGTTAAAATGGAATATATCCTCAGTTAAATCAATATCTAATGCAACAAACAGCTAGTTCCTTTTGATACAGTTCCTCAACCAAGAGCCTTAAGAGTTGGGTAATTATCTTGATTAAACATAGATCAATTCCATTATCAGTTAGGTAGGCATCTAAAGAACATTTCACAAGAGTTGCTTAAATAATAAAAGAATCCGTTGAATTGGTTTAAACTGTTACTGTTGACATTAAGATATGGGCAGCTGAAAATTAGGATAAACTAATACCCCTAAAGTAAAAGGTTGTCGAATTGGCAAATGAATTACCAATTCCTTGGATGTGAATTTTTAAATTAGTATCAATTAAATAATAAATATTTACAATTTTATTTGCAAATATGGAAAATTATATGATCTTTCCTTTAAATTATACTTATAGAAATATTTATTTCCCTTATTTATTCCAACAATAAAAAGATGATTTTTTTTAGACTGCAATTACAAGTATAAAGTTATGCTGTTGGACTTTTATAATTATTTATAAAAAAATGCTTAGTTTATTTTACAACAATTTTGAAATATTTAAAAAAATTGAGAATTCGAATAAATTAATAATTTTCTATTTCTTATAATGTAATATTCTATAATAAATCACTATTTCTTGCATATGACGACTGTGATATCACACCAACTTCCAACAAATAAATTATCACCACTAATAACTGCTCCTGATAATCCTTTGGATAATTATGTATTTTAAGCCAGAATACTTAATTTATTTGATGATAAGTCATATTCTCCTACTGTTCCATAATAATCATATTTAGATTATCTATCCAATCTAGTTAATCCTTTCAAGAACCCATCTAAAGAAAAATAATTACTCATCTTTGGTATAAGTCCAAGAATCAAAGAGTTTCTCTCAGAATCATATTCTAAGTTATCTATTGAATTCTAGACATCAATGTATCTTTTGAATATTAATCCTTGATTTGTAAGTTCATATTCATTCAATTATCTGCCTATGCTGTCGGCAGCCCAAACTAAGTTTTTTTAATTCCAAGTGATCCCATTTAAAACTACTCCTGTAAGAGAAGAATCAAGCAACTATTGGCATGTTGGTTAAACTATAGTGGCATCCTTTTGAAATCTGCAATCAATTATATATGAAGTTTTTTATTGAGTTATCCAAATAAATAAAGTCTTAATAAAATGAGAAGGGGTCATTACAGATCTTCCTTCCTTAGGATCTGCATAAGGCAAATACTTCGTAACTAAAAATCTATTGTCTTCAATGACTATTAGATCGTTCAAAACTCCATTATAGTTTTCATCCATAATTATAGAATGTTGATATTCCAAATTAAGATGCTCATCCTTGATCTTGAAGACTTCTATTCTTTCTCCACCATGTTAATATGCATGATTTACAGTGTAGATGTATTCCCCATCTTCTTGTTTTCTAATATACAGTCCATGCACATAGAGTGAAATGTCGTTTGGAAAATTCTAAATTCCTAATTTCACTACTTTTGGTTTCTCATCTTGAGTATTAACGATTGCATAAAGTCCTAGCTACTCTAAAGTGGGTGTTCCATGCGACCATAACTTATGGAAGTCTCCAGATCCCACAATTATTGTTGTCTAGTTGTATTTTTGCAAATCCTCTGGACCAACAATGTCTGTATTCAAGTATTCACAATTCGAATATGTATTGACAAAGGGGACACTCTTGAAGAAATCGAAGAATCCAATCACAACTTTTATTAAGAAAGCCAAAATGGCTCCAATGATGAGTACTTTAATTTTCATAGAATAATTGGAAAGAGTCAAATTAATTTATTGTATTTAAATTGATTACGATGACTTCATTGCTTCTAATTGATGATAAATTTTTATCTGGGAATCTGAATTCAAAACTGAATGGAATTTAAGAAAACACTTATTAATATTTATCCTTAAAATTTATAAGAATTCTTTAAATTTGTATTCAAGCTTCTATTGATTTAGAAGATATCAATTTTAGCATTATGTATAAATTGCTACTTAAATAAATATTATCCAAGATATAAATTTATGTTAATATGGATAAACGTATCGAATGTAGGATGCTTCATTAATTGGTGATAATGATGATTTATGTTCAAATAACTTTATCATATATGAATAATAGACAATTTCCTTTTCAACAGCATCGATAAGAGATGATCAATTTAATATTAAATTAATAATTGAAAACTGATAATAAATTAATATTTGAAAATTGATAATAAATTAATATTCTTAAATCATAGTAATCAATATAATTTTTAGAATGTGCAAACAAATTTTAAAGTATGTTCATTCTATTATATTATAAAATGATTGAGTGTACAAAATTAAGACATCAAAATTTAAATTGTGCTTACATCAAAAAGAAGAAGTTTTGGTAATTCATAAAAAGATTATAAAAAGCATAATCTATTGATACAAGCCTCAAACAGGCACTTTTGATTAAATTACCTTTTATTTGAACTAGCCCAATTTGCTGCCAATATTGAATACGAAGATGCAACTTTGCTTGGTTGTTTTAAACAAAAGATTAAGTTCATTTCTATCATTTCATTGTTTGGTGATAAAAAATCTATTTGTAAATTAGGTAAATAGTTTTCAGTAAAATGAGTGAATTTACAACAACATAAAATTATAGATATAAATATCTATGGATTACATTTGAATGCTATTTCACAAGATATTTTAATTTTGTTTTTGAATATGGATTATAATTATGCAATTAAATCTTGATTATTAATTCTGGATTTGACATCATACTTGTATTCTTGAGTCAAAAAGGATAAGTTAAATAAAGTCATTTGCAAATATGCATAGGTAAGGAGCCTTTTATCTAAGTTATCTATTTGTTTTTTTGTTGATTGGGATTTGTTTATATTCGGTTGAAAAGCAGAACAATAAAATTGATCTTTGATTAATTGTGAGACATTTTTAGATAATTCTTATAAAAATATAATAAGCATGTCTTGGCTTTTTTGATCTGGAATTTGTATCTTGTCCAAAATAAGTAAGCATTAAACTTCATTATTCAAAATACATTTTGTCAATTTAACCTTATAAAAGATTTTGTTAATTTGATCAATAAAGTACTTCTGTTTATCTTATTTTTCCAGAAAATTTGTTTTCTTTTCCATCAGCATATTTCGTACATATTGCTCTAAATTATTTGCTTGATCACAAGATTGATGTTAATAAGTTGAATTTGCGAAAATTAACTATAAATAGAGTAAATATTGTTTTACATTTCTCAAAAACTATCTTAAATCATAACATCCATTAATACCATGGGTTTATTAGGATCTGATACTTTGTTTGACTAATCTTATCTAATCTTACTTCTAATCATAACGAATCAAAATTATAGTATTTGAAATAGCCTTCCGAATAATCCATTCCCACTATTCTTATTAGAATGAATAAAAAAATTCTTCCTTTTTTTTCCTTTCATAATTGTACTTTACTGCCACCATACAAATCATCATAAAGAAGAAACTTAGTATATGTGCAATACTGTATATCTCATCAAAAGGTAGCAAGAGAACATGAATGGTTGTAGTGATTAAAAGAACAGATGTTGATACCATCATATCAGTGCCTTGCAAATATAAACAAAAGTGCATAAAACAAGTTTAATACCCATAACTCCAATTAAATAAGTCATTAGTTTTGTTTGAGCTATCCATTATTTTATTAACTTCAACTATGAATAAGACATAGAACTAGTAGAATGATATCACATAATTTATGAGATATGGCTTATGAGTTATCAATTTTTGCAATCCAACAATTAAGAAACAACTGAATCCAGCCAATATGGAATAGTAGACACTCTACGCCAATATAAATTAAACCATGTTTAAAATAGCAAATGTCTACGATATATTTACTTCATACCAATGCATATACAGTGAAGTTAAGATGCTCTTTTATGATTTTAGGAGAATTTTACTGAAGGTATTTGTCGGATTGATCTTTGTATAAGAAATTTAGAGTGTATTTATTCAACATATTTTTGAAATTAAAATAAGGATTTAAAACAGTGTTGCTCAAACAACTTAAATACTTTAGAGTACATTTAATACTTATTTGGTTTCAATATGTTTTAGTATATTTGTTATAAATAAAAAAATAATTAATGATCATTATTAATAACAGAAACCAAATTTAATGATTATGTAAAGGCCAATGAGTTTACTTGAGTATGCTCTATCTGAATCTAACTTGAGTATGAATATTAAAAAAAGGAATTTAACTATTGAAACTTAATCTATATAGACAAGTCCCAATTTATTTTAAAATAATCAAGCAGATTTGGAACTATTGGTAGATATGCACTCTTAAAATAAACAATGGGTCAGTATGGAATTGTTTCGATTGATAATTCAAAAAATAGAGGAAAAATTAAGTGAAATAGACGAAAGATTAGACAATAGAGAAGGATTTCAAAATATAACATAAAAATATAGTTTATAAAAGAAGATGTCTAAGAGTTATTAACAAGGAGACTTTAGCTAAATGGATTAGAGTCAAGATGAATTAGAATCCAAATTACAAATTAGTTAAACCAAAAAACTTAATATCTCTTAGCTTAAGAAATCAGAAATTAGAGAAATAAGAAATGATGAACCATTGATAGGAAGATAAAACTTATTGGAAAAGAAACTAGTTTAATTGGAGGAGAAACAAACCAAAATTTAAAAAGAAATGAGCAATTTCACTCTGGATATAGAATCGAAAATATAAGTAATCATTAAATTATTCTACGTTTATAGTAATGTATTAAGTAAATTGATTGGAGTTTGGAAAAATTTAATAAATTTTCTTCAGAATTATTGGATAAGGTCAAAGATGTTACTGATAACCACACAGAGATATTTTAGCATTTGTAAAAAAACAAGGAAGACATAAAGTAAACATAACAATTATTAGATTTAGTTATGTCAGAATAAGTGTGGAGCATTTTAATTAAAATACTTTAACCTAACTTGAACAAATATCGGCTTCTATTGTGAATCTAAATAATTTTGCAGAAAAGCATGATAATGAATTGAGTTTTTATAAGGAGATAATTTAAATAACAGAAAGTGATATTCTGAAAATAATCTAATTCGAAAAGGACATACTAAAGATTGTATATACACGCTAAGAATAAAATGAGAAATAAGGAAAATGACTAAAATATTATTTAATTATAGACAATCAAATTAAATTGATTATCAACTCATTGATATCTAGAACAATGGTGTGATCTCTTTGAATAATAATAATAGTAAGAGTGCATTATTAATTTCTATATTAAATTAATCCATAATGAATTCAGAATTATTCGCTTGTTAATTTTGTAAAGAATATTTCTCCATTCAAAGAGAGCCTTTTCTTTTACCTGATTGTGGTCATAGTGTATGTGCAGAATGTCTAACTGCTAAACTAAAAAATGGAAATTAATTTGTCTGCAAAGAAGATGGGTATTAAATTTGAATTATTATCAAAGTGTGCAAGTAACTAGAAATTAAATGAATGAGTTCCCAAAAAACTTTGCTTTGCTTTAGATAATCAAAAATAGACCAACCAATAGAAAAATTGTAATGAACAATTCTCCAAAATAATTAGAAAATGAATAGGATTCTGATAGATGCAAGAAACATGGAGAAAAAATGGATGTTGTTTGTGTTGATCATCGTGTTAGGATTTGTGCAAAATGTGCATTATTTGGAGATCATGCAGATCATAAAGTAGTTAATTTAGAAGATGCGTTAAAAAAAATAATTAGAAGAATTGATGAATTGAAGGATATGTCAGAAAGACTCGATGTAGCTACAAATGAAACCTTTGAAATGTCCCAATATTTTAATAAAATCGAATTGCATTTTTAATCCAATTTAGACATATAGATTAAGCAAGTCAATTCCTTTTTTGATGAATTATCACAAATATTAGATAACAAAAGAAATAAAATTATAGCGGAATGCAAGGATAAGATCATTCATTCTCAGGAACTTTATAATAAGTATATAACCGAGGCATTTATTGATGTTCAAAGAAAAGTTGAGTTATGGAGAATGACGAGTAAAGATAGAATTCATTACTATGAGGAACAATAGAAGGCTAATTCTATTCCCTTTGAATTGATATCTATTTCCTCAACTAACGAATTGATGCTCATCGGTGCATAATATTTAAAAGAATTAGAATCCACAAAACAATAAATACTACTTAAGATAGACGAACCATCTTATAGAGAAATTCATCTGGAACTAAAAAGCGATTTAGAGTAATTCATAAACACTCATTTGATTGTGTATCAGAAGGACCCTTAATTCAAATTAGAAAACTCATTATCAAGACTTGAATCAATTACTGAGTGTTCTCTCCTTAAAGATATTAATAGTTCTATTATTTAAGATCCTTTGAACTAAAATTAAATGGAATAATGGATCAAACAATATTAAGAGAATCAATAGTAAAAATAATTAAATCAATAATATATATTTTAATAATAGTAATAGTAACAATAATAGTAATAATTTCTATATGCATAGTAGTAATTATAATAACAATAACAACCATAAAATTAACCTTTCTAATAACAATTATCCTACTCAAATCATTAACGAACTGATCAACCTTTGACATCTTAAGAATTGGATGATTAATACTTAAATAACTTAAAGAAATCCCCTTCAGCAACTACTTTAGCAACTAGAAGAACTGTGTCTCCTTCGCCAATTAGAAGATCGATGAAATAAAAAAAAATCAATGAGAAATTCTAACCTTTAATAGTGAAGTTAAAGGGAGACGGTTTAGATCAGTGTGATTTTAGTCAAGCAGAATTAGGCGATGAAGGATTACTATCTTTGATAACAATTATTAAAAAGACAAAAAACCTTAGGGTGTTAAAGTTGGCTAAGAATAAGATATAAGACGCAGCAGCGTAACAATTACTGACTGAATTGATAGAGAAACAAAATGAGAATGATCAGGAAAACAACTAAATATAAACTATAAATTTATCGAGTAACATGCTAACTGATAAAGTTATAGATACTATTCTTGATTTATGTAAAATGATATAACAATTATAGGTAAAAAATACTCTAAAACAATGCAGCATTAATCTTTGAATCAGATCTATTTAAATTAAAACATCATAAACTTATCAAGAGTAAAGAGAAAAGTAGATGAGATAAAGAAATATGGATTGATAATAGCCATTTGACTTAGTTTTAATTTGATAATCTATTATATTTATATATTATTGTTAAAGAGTAATTTGAATTATTATCATTATCATCTTTTTTTAGTTTTTGTTTACTATTAAATTGTTGATCTGAGTTTCGTGATTTTCACTTTGTCATCAACTTTCTATTCTTGCAGTTTTTTGATTTCTTCCATTTGAATATATTTATCCTATTCAAATTGTTGATATATTTCTCTTAGCAAATTTTCAAACACAAGAAACATCTTCTCCTGTTTCTTTATAAGCTATTTTTTTAACTATTAATTTTCTTATTTTAACTTTTGAATCCATTAAAGCACAATTTGTTCAATTTACTAAGTTCTTGTTTTCCAATGCAATAATCCTTGTTTCATAACATGCAATCTCTTCTCATACACAGATTTAATCGATGGGGCATAACTAATGGAAAATTATTTGTTTTAATAGGATTCTAACTAATTTTCTAAGTTATCAATTTTAGTTTCCTAAATATTGAAAAAATAGATACCAAAATCATTTTCTCGTCGATTAAGTCTTGATACATCTTGGATAGATTAGTTTACTAGGAGATTCTATTGACCTTCTTATCAATTTATTCGGTTAGCAATTCGGAACTCAGAGCTTGACACATGAATTACATCTCTTTGAATGCTTTTTCATACAGTTTTTAGAATTCGTCTTTGGCTTTGGTATGGATATTATTGATTTAATTCTGTAGAAGTTCTTTTTCAGATTACTCTTTGGATAATCGTTATGTGAACAAGTCTAACTCACCTTTAGTCATATGCAAGTCGGATTCCAATGACAAGATATATTATTTGATATCCTGGGTTAGATCTGTAGCTTAAACAAATTCCTCGTGTTGTTATTTTAAATCTTAGATACTTTGTTGTAATTGTGATTATTTCAAATTATATTCTTCTGTTAATGTGGTTAATTATTATCTTAAGAATCTTTCCTATTTTGATTTTAATTCCAATTCAATCTTCAAATAGACATTCTCTCTCTCGAGGAAGCTAGCTTGATCTTAACCTTGAGTTGGATCTAGAATAAAAATCAAATATTACAAATTTATTTCAGAGCTTCCAGTTTATTTTATAAGAAACTTATTTGTTAAGGTAATATATCATCTTTAGTGCCCGATTGTGATATCTAGTATTGCTGTTCTTCTTTGGCACTTTAGCCTGAATATTAGTAATCATTATTAATATTATTATTATTATTCTTATGTTTAGAACTAGTTATGAAATTGAGTTCCTGGACATCTTATAAATTATTTTTAGACTCTGTAGTTTTCTTTTCCCTTCCGAATGTGTTATGTTCATTATTTCTACCTGATTGTTCAGATTACGGAGTTTTTAGGTTCTCTTGATCATAGATGTCTATTCCTAGGTTATTTCTAATTTTGGATAATTTCTAAGTGATTTGTTCTATAAATTAGGAATCATCGGCATAGATCATCTAGTCGTCGGCCTCAAATTAACTACTCATCTGTTAATATTATAATTATATAATTATAAATTCTGGTTTTTTCTTTTGTGTACATAATATTATGATTGCTCAACCTGGTCCGACGGAGGCTTAAGCACCTCCTTTGTCTTCAAAGTACATGTAGTCCATCATGAGCGTGACGGCAAGCAGCAAGGCCTTGTCTTCCTTAGATGCTCCTTTAGGGAAAATCAAACTGAAATTGTCAGCATCGCCAACCATGTTCTTACAACAGTCTTTTCCTTTCTTTAACAAATGGGCCACAACCTATAAATAATTTTAGGAATGTATCTTACTTCTCCAGTTGGCACTTTGATTACAAATTCGACTTTGTTACAAGAATTGCAGGGGCATCTACACCAAAAGTAAGTTTAACAGCAACTGGCTTCTACGATGTATCTCAAATTATCATTGATGTCTAGAACGTGGCATCCAATGTTGCAGAAATACCAAGGATTAACAATTGTTCCTAATTTCTTATTTTCATTGTTCTCCATATACAAAACTTCAAGGCGAGGTCTATTCGATAATTTACCAACATTACCTATTAAAGCACAGACAAGTGCATTGATACTCCCTCTTAAACTTGAATACGACTCGTTTGTCATCTTTTAGTAATTATTTGGCCAAGGCAGGTTAAAAGTCTTTGCATCCATAATTGTTGATCTTCATTTCAAAAGGTCTAGCATTACCCCTAGTAAAATGGTTAAGGTATATAAATACGGGAGACAGAGACGAGCACAGGTCGATGACTTCTCTTTGCATTTGAATAAGGCCTTCTACTTCTTCTTCTTTCCTTAATCATCAGCAGCATAGACCTTATATACATTTGGAGTCTCAAAACCTAAGAATAAGTGAGATTGTACCTGAAAGAGCCTCGAACAGTTCAAATTTCTACTTTATAAAGATACCGTCTTGCTAACCAAGAATTTCCAAACAACTACTGGAAATGGCCTGGATTAGATTCTGTGCTTGTTCATTCATTTAAACAAGCACAGCCTAACCCATATTTCCAACCTGATTAAAAGCAGCTTGCATGTTTTAAAGTCAAGTAAATGTTAAGATAAAAGTTAATAATAATGACTATTCATCATTAACAGTTACATATAAATACTGTTTATATAAACATCACCAATCTTTAGATATTTCAAAATAATAATCAAACTACATATGGACGATTCCATCTCCATCTGCAAATAATAGTTTCCCTTTATAATTCCCTCTCGCTAAAAACCCTGAAGGAGCGATTTAATGTTCCATATCATAAATTTGAATATGCTTTTTTGGAGCAAAAGATCCGACAATTTCCTCATATGAATCCACTAATAAAATAATTAGAAATGCGTACCTTTAATTCCATGTCTTTTTGTGGTGTTGTACAGTTTTAATCCAACAACACAATCATTTTTTACTTTGAAATGCAATCGAATGAAATACTCCTCCCCTTCCTTTATTTTGAAGGGGGCTTTTTCATTTTCCTTCATTCCGAATTGTAAATCCAAAGCAATTGACCTATCAGGTTTGCTTGGGAAGTGTACTTCCATCAAATAGAACTCAACTTCGGGGGCTAGAGAATCTAAATTACTTTTTATTACCTTCGTCTTTAAGTTCGTCAATATTTTCTAAAATGGCCTTTTAATATTTAACTAAGGATTCGTCTTATTAATTCTTTGAGCAAATCACAGCCAATGACACTCTCTGTTTATTGAAATTAACATGATCCAGGTGAAAATCTTTGAGCTAAACTTTAAAACCATAGTGTTACGTCATTTTCGGATAACTTATCGACGGTGCATGATTGTTACCTCTTTCTAACGTCTGATGATGGCAATATGTCCTTCTAATTCATGTGGGAAAATAACAAAATAATAAATCAAATAAATATTGAATATCAAAAGATTATACGATTTTATACTCCTTGTGATCCTTGTTGACCATTGTCATCTTCATCATCTTCATTTCTTTAATTAAAATTTTACTAATTTTAAAACATTTATTATTATTGTTATTGTTTCTATTGCTTCAATATAAGAAAATTCTGATTATCCTGATCAATGACGTTCTTCAGAAAGGTCGTCTTCATCTTCGCCACTTGATAAGGATAATCCGTTTTGTAAAATAAAATGTATGGAGTCTATTAGACATACAAATTCTATAAGGCTGTTTAAATGCTTGGATACCTACATATTTGTTCATCATTCAATAGAGTGTATCTAGATAAGGTGAAGTAGTGTCCATAGTTGATCTGAGCTCCTGAATGAACAATCACAGCCTGCAGATACAGATTCTGTTAGTTGATTTGAATTCTATTGGGAATGTCCACCTTAGTCAATATTTTGGCATTTCCTGAATGTTTGAAATCGAATCTATTGAGAGTGATAATGAAGTTCTTGGCAGTTTTTTTGATCGTGAAGTGTCTTTTGGCATTGGTCTTCGCCTTACAATTATCACATTAATATTAATTATCTCCATCCATTATTTCAGGTTTGCAATTCTATTCAACCAATTCTTCCAGTCTAATTGAATTTGCGTTTGGAATCGACAGACTGAGATCCAAGATGTCTTCCTGAGTCTTCACTATTTAATTGCAATTCAAACACTCTATTGTCCATTCGATCTAGCCCTAAAAAGAGTCCTTAATCAAATTCTAAATAGTTTGAATATTCTTACTTCATAAATTTTCAACTTTTTTAAACTCGTCTCTATCTCATCCAACAGGATCTTACCGAATTCATTAGCATCATGCTGATTATAATTATTCTTAAATTAGTCTGGCAAAGTCATCCTGAATTGAATTGGATTAATGCTGTCTCTACTTGAAAATGAAAGTAAAGCAAATAATTTCTATAATGACAACAATAAACCTATATTTGGCTTGTTTCCCACTTATTTAGTTTAAGTGTAATCTTTTAATTACACTACGATTCTGTTAATTTCAAAATCTAATACTTGTTGTCTGAAATCACTGCAAAGATGCAATGCCTAAATGAAACTATTCATATAGCAAGTATTTCCCAAATTCTCTAATCCTCGAAAATGCATAATTTATTATTGTATTGAAATACTAATATAATCTATTATAAACAAAAATCATGAATAATTTATATCATCATTGTCACTGATCGGAATCTTCCAGAAGTTTTAGCATTAGTACTCTCCCTCGTCAACTGGAGGAAAATACAGATGAATGTTCTTATTCATCTCCACATAGGTAGTGATTTCATCAGTATTATACTTATGGATGTTGCTCTCCGAGTCTATAATAAAGATTCGACTGATCTCCACATTAACTGCCTGATAAGCAGTAGAATCCTAATAGAAATTAATAAATTTCATCATACTGTTAATCTATTTCCGAATCCGCAATAGAATGGACTCTCTCCGATGAACAAATTCCTGATTTCTTTTAATGCCGTGATCTTGAATAATTCCGGAGTTCTGTCAATGACTTCTCTCTTGAATGCTGGGAACAAACTGTCAGGACTCAAAATTACAGGTCCCTTAGGCAATTTGGTTTTATGTTATTGTAGATTGTAAATGAAATCTTTGGTTTGATCTGCCTACCCTATAGCTCTTGCGGTCAAATACATTATCTTATATCCCATAGATTGTATATTCTAATAGAGATTGGCGACTCCATCGTGATTCCAATCGGTACCTAATTTTGGCATCAATTAACCCAATATGTCTGACTTGGTTATGGTGCCATCAATGTCTGATATCACCAACTTCGTTTTTTAATCATACAAGTAGATCGTCCCATGCAATTCAACTATGTCATTCTTCTTGGGAATGCATAATCGGTATGTAATTTTGTTATCTCCCTTTTTCAATCCCAATTGTTTTAAGATTGATGAATGAGGTTTGAGTATTGGTCTCTATGACTTCCTCCTTTTTTAGATTGACATTGTACTGAATGTGTCGACTGAGTCCTCACTGAGCTTCCTGAGTCGATCTTAAGATTTAAATTATTGATGCTGTTTTTGACTCTACTCATTATTGTTTAATCTCTAAGTATTATTATTATTTTGCTCAATTTAGTCTGATCCTTTCTTCTTGCCGAAGAGTACACTATACCATTATTATTGTTGCTATGTATTCTGTTTCTTCTGTTGATCCAAACTATCTATCACCATGTCTTGATTGTAGACTTGTTTAGCCAACAATTGTGTTATTCCTGCCTCCCTACTAAAGAACTTATCCCCGATCTTAAAGACAAGATCTTTGTGATTTATTATTTTAAGTGAATCCTTCTCGAAGATTGAAAAGGAGACCTTATGTTGTTCGAACAGTTGCAATCTCTGAGTTTGAGTCAAATTTTATTGCTGCAATTATTGACCACACAGAGAGAGTTCCATTACCGATTGGCGTGGAGATAGGGTGTCCCTGTCACTATAGGGAATAGTGTCTTTTTCGAAATCGTTAGTTTGGATATGTTTTTCGGATTATTAGGACTGGAATTATTTTTGTAATTATATTTACGATAATCCCTAATATTATAATAATATAATTACTAACGATGACGTATCTACCTATTAAAATTCTTTAAGGTTATTTGTTGTTTCAATCTTAACTCCATCATCTTTTTTTGAATTGGACCCTTTGCCCCAAAATTTTAGAGTTTGAAGCCAATTGCTATTTTTCTTGTCACTATTGAACAACTCATCAGGAGTCTTATAATTGTGGGACAATCTAAAGTTGGATGCCTCGTCAAAAAGTCTAAATTGTTTGGATTAACAAGATTACGAATTTTTCTCAGAAAATGTATCATCAGATTAATAACCAGAAGAAATAGAACTTTTTTCGAAGTATGCCGAACCTTCCTTTCCCAATCGCATTTTCACATTCGACAATTTCCCATTCACAATGATGTCAACGTAGTAATCTTGACCATCGTATTTGCCGAATCGAACGTGAAACGGAGTAGATTTCAAGGATCCATTGTGTTATTACACAACAATTATATCAATACATCCACTTAGATAATACTAAAAAAGAGTAGATTAGGATGGATTACTTGTCTTGGATCTAATTTGGATATAATCTTTTAAGTTATAGAGGTCATTATTATTAATAATATATATTAATCATTTTTAATCTTTTTTCTTTTTTTATTTTAAGAATTCTTTTCTTAAAGCTGCATCATTCCTTTGCAATTATTCCAACCTTTCTTTCTCCACCTAGGCCTTATTTATGTCACCAGCAATCATACAGATCCTATCAGTTCTCTTTGTATGATCCGATTCCAAGTTCGATTTCAATATCTGCATAGCAAAAGGTTTGATCACCCTGGCATCCCAATACCTAATCCCATCGAAGTCAGCAAATCCCATGTAACTTCCAAACAATTTGCTAAGCACTGTCTTCCCCTACTTGATTTCCCCTTCGAAGTAATCTGTTGGTTTGTTCTTCACCTTCCCCAATTAGACGATACAATTTAAATCTTATCATAACAACTCATTAATACTATTGGCTTCATCTACAAAAGAAAGAGCTCCCTAAGATTCATTCTTCATTGTTCCAAAGAATGTACCCGAGTAGTGTTCAGATGAAAAAGTGCAGGCTATCTTCTGATCCGGAAATTAGATTGTCCTCTTCCCATGATTCAAGATAGTCAATGAATTCAACCCGGCTTTTGCTTCATAGAGAGAATAGCCGTAAAACTTATAGGATTTCTTGGGACCATACACTAAAAAATAAGATAGAGGTGGGTGATGAGATATCTAGTAATAATCATAAAGGCTATTGTACTTATTCACAGTAAAGTTAGGTGCCATCTTCATAGCCGCCCTCAAAGGTTTCACCTAAAATTGGATTGAGAGGTTTAAGAAATGAATTTGCCTAAATGTAATTAGATATGAGAGCAACTATACTGAGTTTCATTCGTTCTAATGGCTTTTATAGAGAAGCAGCCTTATTCATATACAAAGGAAAGAGAATTGTTTACATAAACGTTTTTTCCAAGGCCGATTTGGGTATCATCGCTTTAATCTACAATTAATTTAACAAATTGAACTTACAGGGAAGGACACTGTTGTTAAATTGAAATTTCCACTAAGCAATTTCTGACCAACTTGTTTGATCATGTTCTTTCCCACACTTCTAGCCAAATCAATTATTTTTTCATCCTAACAAGCCGTCCCTCCTTTCTTGTGCGCCTAAGGAACTCTGTATTCATCCTTATAATCAACTTTCTTGAAATTTAAGGCGTAATTCATTATAGTATTAAAATCCCTATGATTGCAATGCTCACCTTCATCAAACACAATTGAAACCTTGACCAAGTCTATCTCATCCGAGTCCTCCTCTTGATTCTATTCGGTTTTACTGGGTTTATGCTGGAGTTGTTATTGTTCATTTTAGACTAGTATTTACTTTTCCTCTTCCACTTACTTCTTGTTGCTCAATTAGTTTTCAGATGCATCTTATTTATTATTAGATTAGTTATTATTGCTATTACCATTCTCATTTACATCGCTATTTTCATTCTTGTCCTCTTCTCTTTGTTTTTATTCATTCAACTCGTTAGCGTAGTTGACTGCAGACTCAAACCCATTCCCTTGAAAATCACTCACAAATTGAACTTTTGGACTAGTGTCACTGGCACTATTGACTTATCTCCTCATATGGACTACACATCATATTATTTATTACTTTTAATACTCTTGGCTACTTGCACACCTGAACCGTGTCCTCCACTCTCATCACTAATGTCATCAAATTTAAATGAGCTTTATTTTTGCACACATCCCTTATTTGGAGATGATAAATTATTCACCACAAAGACTTGTGTTTGCTATTTACTCACAATAATGAACTCCTTAGTTTCATCATACTGATTATTCGAATTTTTGAAATTCTTCATATAAAATTCAAGGGCATTGTTGGAAAGCAGTTTGTCCCCGTCCAAATCATTTTAATCATCAACATACTGAGCTGAAAACATGCTGCCTTGTATTAATGCATAATCAGCCACATTCAATTTAGTTGTGTGGATGTAGATTTTTACATTATCATTTTTAGCTATTTCGATGTAATCGTTTTAGTTGAATTCTGCTATGTCAGTTTTTAATTTCAACAACTAGCCTTTGCCAGATGGGAGCAGCTTCTTTTTGGAGAATTTAACCAATTTGAATATTGCCTGATGTAGAGTCTTGGGATTTCTAAATTATATTTTGAAATGGTTTACTAAAAATTATCGAATAAAATGATGTCTATTGTTTGGGTGGATGGATTGAATATGATTCCCAGGATCTCGTGTTGTTTGTAGAAGGATCCGATGATGCCTCCCAGTAATTCAATGTTGCTTATCAACAAATTAAAACCACTATCATTTTTTAACAAATAATTATTGTTGTTGTTTATGGACCAATCGTTTAAGGAGACAACTACTCCCGTAGTCAATTTGAATTCGTTCCCGTCTATTTTCACAAGTCCGATTCCCAATAGTGCATAAAAGGCTTTGACGTTTTGCATTTTCGAAGAGAAACAAATTTGCAAGTATCCTAAAATCTTGTCGTAATTTTCGTTCTCGTCAATCATCAACTTAAATACTCTTCCCTTTGCTGTTCTCACGTAGATCACTGACTTAAATTATAAGCTGTTATATTACTTTCTAATCATTAGTTTACTAATAATTTTTTTTCTTTCTTAAAGATTATTCACATTTTTAGATATCAGCTTCATCTCTGACAAAGTCGCCCTTATTCAAAGAATAATAATTGTTATAACTATTGGATTATTAGGTTTTGTAACACAATATCCTACCCTTCCTCAAATCAAAAGAAAAGAAGTAATTGTAAAGAGTTCCCCATTTTAAATATGCCACTGCACCTAGTTTTCTATCGATCTTTATCGCCTTTCATTACTACATAAATCTCATACTTAAGTCTTCGGAAAAGGAGCCTGCTTTATATCCTCGTCGTCCTCCAACTCATAAATAACACGGTTATTTTATTGCATTTATTATTTATATTTATAAACGAGAAATAATTTATCTCATCAAGTTCACTACTTTCATAATTTTATTCGTTATTCTCATATTCCTGTTCTTCATCAAATCGACCCTCTCTCAAGATGCTCAATCTCAACGACTCATCTACCTTATATATTGATCTGTCAACCAATTTGATCATTTAATTTCAGAGATTTTTTATACGCAATTGAAAATTACAATATCTTTTTTTAAAGAAATAATAAATTTATTATAAATAACATAAACTCAAATTGATTAATGAAGTAATTATTATATTTATTTCCAAATCATTGAAAATCGTATTGTTTATTAGAAATTATCTATTAAAATATTTCAAATTATATTCCACTATTATTATTGAATATAGGTTTTTAGTATTGCTTAGAAACCACTGTTACCTTCTACTATCCATCTAATTTAATTGTCTTCTCCTTTGCCCATTGAAAATCTAAAACCATATTTGTCGAGTGATCCTGCTCATTCTGTAGTGACAACTACTACTATTGTTTAATTTCCTTCTCTATATGTTGTTTTAATTGCTACCTTGCTTTTTTTAATTGGTCATTATTGTTTTAGTTTTTTTGCTGATTCTTGCCTGTGTTATTGTAATGATATTTTTTATCATCTTCTGTATAGTTCTTCTCCTAAAGCATGGTTATGAGGTGAAATCCTGTAATTTTGTGACACAATTGATTTTTGTTATTGATGATGATAACATTTTCTTTTTAATTGAGATTGTAGAAGATTTCTAAATATTGTGAAAAGTGTATTTCGTTGATTTGGGATGATATTGGAAACCAAAATTGGATGTTCTTTTAGTAAATTCTTTTTTCAATTTTCTTCTTATTTAATAACTGTTCAAAATTATCATTATCGAATTCCGAATTGCTTAGTATGATTATTTTGATATCCGTTTACAAAGGCAGGGAAATGATTTAATCAAGCTAACTCATCTTTTGAGGGTCCTAGTAATCCATTAAAAATATAATTAAGTATTAATTCTTAATAATAGATATTATATACATACCTCTTATGAGACCACTATCTTATCTAGTTTCTCTTAGCACTGAGATGTTTCATCTACTGAAGTTGAGTTAATGAATGATATCTAATAAACATCGCAAATAGGAGTGTATTCCTCATTCACACTCCATTTGTCAAGCATTATCTGATTGATGATTTTATTTAATATTTCTAAGTCAGCTTTTCTGGTTAAGCATTTTAACAACTAATGAGCTTGGAAGAAGATCTGCTGTTTTTTTGGTTGTGCAAGATTGGTGATTTTGAAATTATCATAAAATTTGATCATTTTCCATTTGTACTTATAATTTTGATAATTCTAATTTTGGATGTTGAATTAACTATTAACGATTTCATCTCCAAGACTCCATTGGATATGTAAGATGGAATTGATAATGATTGACACTTGACTAACATCTTGATCCATGAAGATTTATTGTAAAATTTATTGGATTCTGACTTTACTGGGTAATTGAAATTTCGAGGATTGCTTAATGATCAAAGTATCATAGGAAGCTTTTTTGATGATGGTTAATATATCCTAAGTCTTGCTCTCAATCTCATTGGCATTCTATAATTTCAATTGGGAAGGCATGTAAATTTTAGATTGCAATTTCAAATCCTTGTAGATCTTCTGTGTTGACAATTTCAATTTGAAATATTAGGAGAATTGTGATGATTTCAATTGCAGTGCCTATATTAGTTCTTTGATCATAATCTATTTAATTGACTTGTAGATGTGTTGATCGATGTGTTTTTTATCTTGCAACGACTTCTGTGATTGGAATTAGAGGTCTTTGATGTTGAATTCGTTGATGGATAGGATTTTGTGATTCTGGAGTGTAATGATGCAGGTGGTGTTGGAAAGGTGAGTTTGTGTTGAATTTAAAAAATTGAAAATTAGAGTTCCATCATCCCAAAATTGTTCTTGATCTTCTTGATTTAAGAATTGAGTAAGTATTCTGGAATGAGAATCTGAGTTTTAATTTTTCTTTTATTTTTTAATGACTTTTGTGTAAAGATTTATGATGGTGTTGTATCTGTCTTCTTTGTCATCCACACCGACGATCACGGAGCAACTAGGGAATAGAGAGAGAGGATACCTTTGAAATGAATTGGTTTCGATGAACAAATTGATGTTTGAATTGTCATTGTCATCTTGACGAAAGACAAGCAAAAAGGATTTATTGAGTTCTCTAATGAATTGCAGTAGAGGATAGCCAATGTCTATCTGATTGATGACGATGATGGTAATGTTGGGATCGATTTGAATTTTGGAGATCTGATTATTATAAAATCTTAAATTTAATTATTTCGGGAAGAGATCTCCGACTCTAAGGAGTGCTTGATATTTGAGACCGACCTTATTGATTAGTGTATTTAATTTGTAATCTTGGAATCTAATTAGGAATTCTGATGTTTTGATGTAAATTTCTCTCAGTTGATTGGTTAGGACTGGGATCAAGTAGATGTTGCTGTTAAAGGGTGAGTGGATGTCCTACTAAATGGAGGTTTGTAATTCCTTTAGATAGGGTCTACAGGGAGAGAGAGATAATGATGAATTGATACATGAATTTGATTTCAATTGTTTTTGAAATCACGATTTAGCTTTCTTGGAATCCGAGGAGAGTCAATTGTTCGATTAGGAATGCTTCAAAATTGGATTTGTTGGATTGATGGAATGGTTCGATGGGTCCAGATATGTACCCAGAAGCATTCATACATCCCATTAGTATAATATATTATAAATTATAAATTAATACTTATGTGACTTAATTTAAATATTATCTTTAAAAAAAATGAGTGGAAGCATGTATGACTTATCCGTAGCCACATATTCCCAGGAGGGACGTATCTATTAGGTGGAATATGCAACAAAGGCAGTTGAAAATTCAGAGTAAATTTTGAATTAATTCTGATTAGGACTGTGATCGGAGTCAGGTGTAAAGATGGAATCATTTTGGCAGCAGAGAAGTAAAAGTTCTCCAGATTGTTGGAAGACAACACAAACAAGAGAATCTATAATATCGACACTTCCACTGGAATGGCTCTATGTGGAAAATTGCCAGATGGAAGAAACATCTTATAAAGAGCAAAGGCAGAGTCCTCTCAATATTAAGACATGTATGCTATTCCAGCATCTGCCAATGTGTTGTCGGATAGAGTGGCACAATATGTCCACGCCTACACTATGTATTCTGGAGTGAGACCCTTCGGATCTGCAAGTATCAACTCCTCTCTAATATTCAGCATTCATTGCCAGTTACAACACTTTCGATGGTTATGAATTATACATGATTGAACCATCAGGAAACAAATACGCTTATCATGCATGTACTCACGGAAAAGGTAGAGCAATTTGCAAGTCCGAATTTGAAAGAAGGAGTTTCAAAGACCTCACATGCTAAGAAGCCTTGGTCTATATTGCTAAGATGTAATTTAATATTGTCTAATTGTCAGGTTGATATTAGCACATGAGGAATTCAAAGAGAAGAAATATGAATACGAAATGACTTGGATCACCGATAACAATGGACGCAAACATCAAAGTGTCCCTCAAGATTTGATTAATAATGCTGTGCAATAAGCCGAATAATTAATTGAACAAGATTAACTGGGAGAATGATCATATATCTACATAAAGACAACCATAAATTAGTATTCATATTTTGAACGATTCTCTTCCACTTTGTTAATTATTTGACTCCTCAAACCCAGAATCATTCTTCTCAACAAAGTATCCATTTGTCTATCTATTTATCGACTTGAACTCAATCAGTTTATTGTGAATGAAATTGAATGCCTCTGGATACTGTGATTCCAATAATTGCTTGGTCTCCTCTGACACTTGCACTCTTCCTTTTTCCCCATTCGATTCCATCTTATTAGAAATCATTACATCAGCTCCATACACATCATACCTCACTATCTCAGTTCCTAAGATGCCAGCTATCACTTTACCCTAATTATTTATTCAATACTCTTACTGTATGAATCCCTATTCTCATATCCAATCCATCAAATCCGATTATTTATCTAACGTTCCTTATAATCTCAATCATACCGAATCCCAATTCAACAACATTTTTGGCTTCCTATGCTGGGTTCCTTTATCTAATGTCTATTATTCCCAATGCAACATAACAATCTCCTATTGTGTATAATTTATATGTATTTTGAGTCAAACATTATTTATCGAATTCAGTAAATAGATTTCTCAACATGTTTACCACTTATTCCGGTTCCACTTTACTTGAATACTCAGTAAACCCAGCAATATCTGCAAATAACAGTGTGGCATCTTCCAACTATTCAACCAGAAAAACTCTCTGATTATTGGATAAGAATTATTTTAGAATATGATTAGGCAACAAATATTTTACTAAGTTTTCAGATTAGCTTTTCTTTATCCCCAAAGATCTCTTGTTATTAAAAGTATTTAGATCCTAATAAAACATGTTGTAATGTACTGAAAACATTAAAATACCCTAGAATATTGTGTAGTAGGCAATTGGCCAACTATGAAATTTGATTAGCACTATCAGAATCTAAGTAAAACAAAATACTAACAGAAATATCAATTTCTAGGTAATTTCGATTATCTGAAATGAGCAAAAGAAACAAAGCAATAAGATTCCTTCAGAAGCCTGCAATTCAATTAGTTCCTCACTCTTTAGCATTATGAATTCCAGCAAGATACTGAACAATAGTAATATGTAAGTGCCCAAAAAGTAGTTGCTGTTGTAGAACCTATGTTTCAATTTCTTATTCTATGACAAGGCCAACATCAATAATATCAATGCGGCCACCAACCTTATGACGATTATCAAATTAGAAATAGCTATAATTTCAAATTGCCATATAATGAACAACGTAAAAGTCTTAGCCAAATATTATAGGAAATGCAAATAGATGGTTATTAAAACGATGTTTCTGCCCTCAGCCACCTACTCTTTAAATTCCATTGCTAATTGATATTAATGGTCTTTGAACCCAAGATATAGTTTCTTCCTTTCCAATTGCAAGCATTCACTTATAACATTGCTATTATCGTCCTCCAAATACCCTTTAATCTTATCAAATTCTATATCAAAGTCAGGGTAATCGTCAATTTAATCTATCTGTAATTCTCTTCTTAATTTTTGAGAAATTTCTAAGAGCAAATTCGATTTCTCCAAATATGATTATTACAACTCCTTGTCTTAACAACTATTGTCCTGCTCATTTTCAAGTTAAATGTTCTGATTGCTGTTTATTTTGATTTGATTTAGAGTTGACATAGCCTAAGGCAACCCTCTCATTAACAAAGTCTACCTTGTATTAGTCTTCCTTCTAAACTGCTTCGCTTGTTCCTACTATCTATTAGATTCCTATGAAGAATCCTATTAAGCTGGTATGGATTATTTTGATGAGAATTATTGCAGAACATCCTATTATTGGTTTTAAAGGGACACCTCATCTTATTTGTTGATGATTATACTATTTTATCTCTTCTGAGAATTCTAAGCGAAATACGAGGGTTATTTAGTTTGGGTCTGATACACCTAAGCTTATTATTGTATCTACAAAGATGTTTGAGGAGAATAAACTATTTAATTGGATTCTTCATTCTTTAAAATTACACCTCTCTTTTTAATGTTTTTTTTGTCGGTGTTTCTCTTTATGTCTTTGCTAACCTAATAGGTGATTAACTCTCCTTTTCCCTTGGCAGCCACCTTCCTTTCAGTGAATTGCAAATCAGGCATATTGATTTCCTAATAGGCTTCACTGGATAATGTCACTTATCCATCCTACCCAGTTGAACACACTCTACTGGTTGTGTTAACTGTGTCTCCTATCAGTGAGAATTAAGGTTTGTGATGGCCAATGACTCCAGCTATTACTCTGCCGTAATGAATCCCAATCTTTATTGTTAAATACCCGATTTAACCATACTTCACCTTCTTTGTATGTTCCATCATCTCCAAAGCCAATTGAACAGCCTACCAAATATCAATTACATTGTTACTCTCTTAACACAATTCTAATTGTTGAATTTAGTCCCCTGATCTACAGCTTTGAGTCCCCCAGCAGCCATGTAGGTTTTACCGACAGTCTCAATCTTCTACATGCCATTCTAAGTGCACAACTAATCAAACTATCTGAATAACCCATCCAATATCTTCACTATGTTCTCCTTCTCTATGGTAATCAAATCATCGAATCCACAAATGTCACAAAACACTATAGATACATTTCCTTGATTTTCAGCTATTTCGAACATGCCCTCTACAATATTATATCAATTTACTTGCATTTATTCTGTCCCTGATAAATTTTGGCAACAATATAGACAATACATTGGTCATATTCGAAGTCTCCTAATTCAACGTGACATCCAACATGAAGTCTTCCCTTTCCAGTCTTATCAATTTGTATTGCAAAGCCATAAATAGAATGCTTGTGGTTATAGCTATTATTTCGCCGTTGATCACAGCGAAGTATGTAACTTGGGTAAACTAAAATTCAATCACTGAAAACTTCTTTAGAAATCCCACCAAGGAGATGAATACTAAAATAAAATTTACAATTGGCAAATGCACTCTCGATTGCAATATTATTACTATATAGTTTTAAGTAATTAGTATCTCATAGATTCCATGAGTGTCAGTTGATCCGACATCGCAAATAAATTTAATCAGACATCTGATGCTGACGATTGCCAAATTTATAAAGAAAAAATGCTTTGAGTATATGTTTGAGCACACCAAAGACAACAATGCGATTTCTAATGCTATGCCCAGGATGTATGTCATAAAATATAGAGTGGTTTGAAATTGATTCATGTTGTAGACTACGTACAATATTATTGCAATTATTTCTAAAAACAGAAGAGTAAATATCGATTTGTATTTTTCCAATTTCAACCATAAAATCTTAGACAATCTTTTGAATTTCATCTCTGTGTCTTTGTTCATGAATTTTAATGTAAATGGATTCACCTTGTCTTGATTTACCTTTAAATTAGACCCCGATACCATCTCCTAAATAGAGATATCCAAGTCATCATTATTTCTTTTAAATATCTTACCAGCTATTACTGCTATTCTTTTGATAAGATTGTGATATTTCTTTTTATTCGTATTTTTCTTCCCGTTTATTTTTGATTGTATCTAAGAGATCTCCTCATAACTTTGTTCACTTTTTATCAAACTTTGACAAAACAAAGGTTAAATCACTTCAATACAAGTACTCAGACATAATTAGGCAAAGATATAGAAAAAGAAAACAAACCATGAATTCGGATCAATAAACAATCCTTCAAAAGTTTCAATATTTTCATCAAATGAATACTTGACAGACAATAATGACATTGAAAGCCAACAAACAAGATAAGCAAATAATAAAATTATCCATGCAACCATCTTTTACACAGTTGAAACACATAATTTTACGATATCACTTCCAATCAATAAAAGTAGTAACATCTATCTTATAAGACCAATCTAAGTATTACTCTAATACAAGGTGTAGTAAGATAGCCATAATAACACCGCATCAAGTAAAGCATTCCCATTTATTTTAAATACAAATGATATCACTTTTTTCTTTTTAAAAGTTTTTATATTGATTTTGAATTGTTCTTGATACATCTTAGAATCTGCATGATAATTTTCATTTAATTTTGATATCAAACTTGCAATTTGTTATAGAATCAACATCAAACTCTAGTAAACTGTTAGCCACCCACCCTCAATCAACTAATAGTTTTATGCACAATTTGTTGAGTACATTAGAAACAATGAATATAATATCAGTAATGATCTATAAAATGAAAACACTAGCAAATCGTCATAAACTTCTGCAAAAATCCTACTCTCGAAGAACATCAATCCACACAAGTCTTCAAAATTATTTATGCAAATGTCTGAAGTAGGCATTTTTTAAACATCCTTAATAGTATAGATCTTCTTTAACGGATTTTCCATAATCTTGTTCATTGATAATCGTTAGTTGATCTTCAGTTTAGTACTCAATTTTTATGTTTGATAACTTGTTGGGATATGGAATAATTGGATGCCCATATTGGCTTTTCTGAACATTTGAATATCATTAAACGAATCCCCAATTGCTAAGACTTTTTTGTTTCCTTAGAATTAAGTTTAGATAATTTTGATAATTTCTGCTTTTTCTTATGCATTGAATCTGTAAGCTATCAATGAGTTACAAAAATATAAGAGAAATATTAGATGACCCAGCAACATATTATCTTCCTAAATTAATTTAAATTATTCCCCACTCAAAATAATTGAGTATGCTTTAATTTCTGGAAATACTTAGGATTGCATTTGCTGGCTTTTCCCCAATTTATTTTGGCTTTCCTAATTTTGACTTTGTTCAGCAACCTTTGAGGGATACTTTTCAGTCAGAGTGTTGAGTCTAAGTGCTTTCGATTATTGCATATTGTTGACATTGGTATTGATAGTATTAGACTCGTTGGCTTATAGTTATTAGGCCATTTGAGCCAATTGATTTTTAATTACTAATTTGGCATTATCTGAATCTATGTATAGTAATTGATCCGTAGTTGACAACAATTTAGACTTGTAAGCAACAGGCAAGACTCTATTCAAATCATCACCTGATAATAAGAACAAACTTAAATCAGCTT